GAACAAATTATTAATTAAGAACAAATTAGCAACTAAGAATAGACCTTAGTTTGAAGGGACTTCCGACGAAAGCAGGGATCCTAAAAAGAGGTATCCAGCTTCAAAAGGAGGAGACTTTTTGCTGCATTTGTAGAAAGGAATTGGAGGATGACAACCACTTGTTTGCCACATGCCCAAAGATCCAAAGTCTGTGGATGAGATGCTACAACTGGTGGGGGATATCCCTAACCCTTCCTAACACAATTTCTCTTTTATGTGAAAGCTCACAGTATAGGGATCAAAAAGTGGGTAAATTCTGAAGTTTGGTTTCTGATTTTCTTGGTGGTTGCATGGTCTATATGGTACACAAGGAACTCTATTATACACAACTCACAACAATGGGATGAGGATAAAACTTTTGACTTAATTCAAAGGAGAACATTTGCTTGGATAAGGGGAAGATCTACTAACACTATGTTTCCTTTTTTCTATTGGTGCAATTCCCCTAGTACATGTGTCCAAGAAATTCCCAAGAGGTAGATTTAACATTGAAGCTTCTCAGTCATCACTTTAGTTTTTGGAACGATTCCATAGTTTGAGGATGCTTTCATTATCTCCGAATGTATTCTTTATTGTATTTGCTATGACTTTTTTATGTTACGGGTTGAGCACCCCTTGTACTCCTACATATAATAATTTTTTTATTCATCAAAAAAAAAAAAGAAGATATTCTTGTCTTTGTACTTTTAATGGTTATGAGAGTACCTCAACCACTGGATTTTGATTTTTAGTAAACATTCTTTCTTTTTATTTTTTAAAAAATGATCATTTTTATGATGTCATATGACATAACTCACTATATGCCACCTAATATAATTTTTGGGCAAGTGCCACCAAAGAGAAAGATTAGAGAGCTTGAGATGAAGAAGGGGAGAGCAAGAGTGGAGAAGAGGAAAAGTTGAGAGAAAGTGAAATTGATGAGAGGTTAGGGTTTGAGTATTTTATTTATTTCTACTTTTAGAATTAGAAAATTAGAAATTTAACATTAATTTTTAAGTAATATAATAAAAATGAATAAAAAAAGTTCAGGTTATTTCAGGTGACCCGATCCACCCGTGACCCAATCTATTTAGGTTTAGATAATTTCAATCTAAGTTATTTTGGATTTTGAATTAATACATAAGACCCATGACCCTATCCATAATGGATGGGTTGGGTCGATTTTCATATTGAGTCCAATTTTGCCAACTCTACTGGCAAGTTAAAAGCAAAAAAGTGGCATTCCTACAATCAAGATTGCCGACAAAGTGCATGTTGGAAGGTGAAAAGGTGATCATTTTTCCAACGCGCTCCTTGTGGGTAATGCTAAGTCTTCTCAGATTTCTTTCTTAGATTTCACTTCCTTTTTCATGTTAATTTCTAAATTTATCCAATGGATTTCTTACATTTTAATAATTTTAGTTGACATAAATTCTAAAATAAATTTGACAAAGTTTCCTCATGTATATGATAAAAATCAATTTTTATAAACTTGCATTGACAATAAAAAACACATGTTCTACAACTTTACTACACTAAAAGCAGTTATACCATTTCAACCACAACAACAACCACATACTATTGTCCTAAATCTCTATAATATTTAATTTTGAATTTATTCAATAGGATTCTTGCATTTTGGTCATTTTAGTGGACAAAAATTTAAAAAAAAAATTTGGCAAAGTTTCCCTATATATCTGATCAAAGCTAATTTTTTTAAACTTGTATTTGCAATAAAAAGCACATATTCTACAATTTTGCCACACTAAAAGCAGTTATTTCTTTTCAACTGCAACCACAGCCATAGAATCTAAAGAAAGATTAGATATTAGAGCCATCTAATACAAAACTCAGGATTTTGGCAATGCCAATATCAAATAATTATTATAATACTGGAATTTCAAATTTTATTACCAAAATTTTAACAAAAATTAAATTGCTGAAAAATTATTAACAAACATTTATGTATATATATAATTTATCCAAAACAATAAATCTAATAATACTGATATCAAATGAATTAATCACAATATTTTATAGTTTAAATTCTAAAAAA